TGTGTTGAGGGATTATTAAAGCCAATGGATTATGAGTTCTTTAGACATATTTTTACACAACATAATGCATAGTTACTCCACCATAGGACAGCCCTCTCCCTGGTTCCTCCCCCTCCCCTTACTTCTATATGTATTTTGGGCTTATTTTTAAATTGTTTCACTTCTCTTTTCATCTTCCTGGTACCAGGTATTTCCACATTTTATTCACTAAATTGGAAGAAATGTTGCAGACATTCTGAGACTATAAGATTTCTTTCCTGTCCCAATTTCCTTTTGGCAGGACTGCTGTATATGTTAGTATGAAAGAATGTGCACTGCACACCTTTAAGGGGTGTCATTCATATTGTCATCTGTGGGGAATGTCCCCTCTTGGAGTTGAACAGAGTTTAAATGACACAGCTATACATATAGTCATTCCTCCTAGCAGCTGCTTTAGACATAAAGATAAGGACAGTGACTTCATTAATAAATCGGAATCTCTGCTTACCCTCCTATAATGTGTATACACAAAACCTGTGACATAGGTACATGGCAATATCTGATCATGTTACTATTTTTCATTTAAAAATCTTTAATTTCTCTCCAGGATTAAGTCTGTTACTTGTAAAGTCTAAAAGTGGTGGGCTGATTTTATCAGGATCACTTTCGTGAGTTTAAAAAATGGATTCCTATGGGCACCTGGGTGGCTCAGTCAGTTGAGCACCCAACTTCAGCTCAGGTCATGATCTCACAGTTTGTGAGTTCGAGCCCCACATTGGGCTCTGTGCTGACAGCTCAGAGACTGGAGACTGCTTTGAATTCTGTGTCTCCCTCTTTTTCTACCCTTCCCCCACTAACACTCTGTGTCTCTCAAAAGTAAATAAAGAAGCATTAAAAAAAATCTGTATAAAAAATGGATTCCTAGACTCAGATTGATGATTCTGGATTGAAAAGACCTCAAGTGAAGTCTGGGAGTCAGTGTTCTAAAAAGCAGCTCCCCACAGACACTGCTAGCCTGGGTATTTCTGATGCATAGTTATGTTTAGGCAACACTGGTCTATGTCGCTGGTGGACTGCAAAGCCCTTCACAACTGGGCTTCGACCAACTTGACTTCTTTCATACCTTGCATTTCAGCTTTTCTGGAATATTCAACATCACTGAATATATCACGCACTTGAATGCTTTAATTACATTACACATTCTTTCTGTCTGGCAAGAGTTTTTCTTGGATTTTTTTCAGTCAAGTAAACTTGATTCTTGACCTCTAAGATGTAAATGAAATGATATCCTGTTGAATCGATTTCTAGTTCTCCCATACCTAGAATCAATTATTCCTGTCTCTAAGCTCTTACAATAGTATATATTATAAGAGTGATTCTTAGGGTGCCTGGGTAGCTCAGTTGGTTAAGCATCCAGGTCTTGACCTAAGGGTCATGAGTTCAAGCCTTGCATTGGGTTCTGTGCTGGTGTGAAGCCTACTTAAAAAAAAAAAAAAGTGATCCTCAAAAACTGTTGGTCAGGAGCGCCTGGGTGGCTCAGTCAGTTGAGCATCTGACTTCAGCTCAGATCATGATCTCATGGTTCATGGGTTCGAGCCCCGCGTCAGGCTCTGTGCTGACTGCCAGCTCAGAGCCTAGAGCCAGCTTCAGATTCTGTCTCTCTCTCTCTCTCTGACCCTCCCCTGCTCACACTGTGTCTCTCTCTCTCTCTCTCTCAGAAATAAATAAAAACACTAAAAAAAAAAAAAAACTGTTGGTCAGATACTTCCCCAAAATATATATATTTTTTTACAAATAGTTTATTGTCAAATTAGTTTCCACATAACACTCAGTGCTCATCCCCAAAGTGCCCTCCTCCAT